GGTTTTTTGGGGGGTTTTTTGGGGGGGTTTTGGGTTTTTTTGGGTTTTTTGGGGGGGTTTTTTGGGTTTTTTTGGGGGGTTTTTGGGTTTTTTTTGGAAATTTTTAGGGGTTTTTTTGGTGGGTTTTGGGTTTTTTTTTGGAGGGGTTTTGGGTGGTTTTGGGGGGTTTTTTTTGGAGGTTTTTCTTGGGCTGTTTTGGGTTTTTTTTTGTTTTCTTGGGGTTTTTAAAGGGGGTTTCTTTGGGGAGTTTTTTGGGTCTTTTTTATGGTTTTTTTGTGTTATTTTTAGTGGCATTTTTCGTTTTTTGGGGTTTTTTTGGGGTATTTTTCGTGCTTTTTTGTGTTACTTTTTGGGTTTTGTGTTACATTTTGAAGATTTTTTTTGTGCATTTTTTGTGATATTTTCGAGGCGTTTTTTTGTGTTATTTTCTGGGGTTTTCTTTTTGTTATTTCTTAGGTTTTTAATGGGGTTTTTTTTTAGTTATTTTTCCTGTTTTTCTGGGAGGTTTTTTTGGTGCTTTTTTTTGCATTATTTTTTCCCGTTATTTTTGTGTTTTCTCCCTTATTTTTTGTGGTTTTTGGGTCATTTTTGGGTCATTTTTTTGGCTCATTTTTGGCTCATTTTTGGCTCATTTTTGGCTTGTTTTTGGCTCATTTTTGGCTCATTTTTGGCTCATTTTTGGGTCATTTTTTTGGCTCATTTTTGGCTCATTTTTGGCTCATTTTTGGCTCATTTTTGGCTCATTTTTGGCTCATTTTTGGCTCATTTTTGGGTCATTTTTGGCTCATTTTTGGCTCATTTTGGGCTCATTTTTGGGTCATTTTTGGGTCATTTTTGGGTCATTTTGGGCTCATTTTGGGCTCATTTTTGGGTCATTTTTTGGGCTCATTTTTGGCTCATTTTGGTCTCATTTTGGGCTCATTTTTGGTTCATTTTTGGCTCATTTTTGGCTCGTTTTGGGCTCATTTTGGGCTCGTTTGGTATCATTTTTTTCAACCTGATAAGCGCATTTCCTGTGCAGTTTCTTCTGCTCCTTGTACCACTGCATCAGCTCCTTCATGAAGGACAAGGTGACCTTGCCTTCCTCCAGCTTGGGACCACTGTACTCATCCTCGATGGCTGGGGGGGGTGAGAGGGGTGTGAGACCCCCCCTGGGACCCCCAAAAACCACCTGGGACCCCCCTGAGACCCCCAAAAACCACCTGGGACCCCCCAAAACCCCCTGGGACCCCCAGGAACCCCCTGAGACCCCCTGAGACCTCCCCAGGGACCCTCCTGGTGATGCTCCCGGTGACCCCCAGTCCCTCCTGGTGACCCCCAGTCCCTCCTGGTGACCCCCAGCCCCTCCTAGCGACCCCCCGCCCCACCC